AAGCATGACTTATCATCGTTAGACACTTAACTTGCAACGCAGTCTTCTTCATACGAAGACTGAATGACCAAGCAGCTATGATTATGGATCTGTAAACATGACTTATCATCGTTAGACACTAAGCTTGCAACGCAGTCTTCTTCATACGAAGACTGAATGACCAAGCAGCTATGATTATGGATCTGTGAACATGACTTATCATCGTTAGACACTTAACTTGGTCATGGACTTCTTGTACAAAGGAGATGAAAGACTTTGTCATCGTTAGTAAATGTTATTTGGGGCCGAACAGAAAATTACCAGCTACGGAAAGTCCAGGAAGTCATGTTGTAGGCATGGATCTATCTTTTTCTCTAAGCATATTTTCAAAGAGCGCATGCGTACATTTCTCATTTCTTTCCGAGGAGCCAAAAAATGTTGCAACTTTCTGAGATCGCGTTGCAACTTCCAACGCCAAATTTTCAACCATTGCGAGACAAGTTGCTGAGAAAATAGCACAGTGTAACAGGACTTTGAGTCCAAATTATCCATCACTAGCTTATCTAATGCCGCGAACATCCACAGTCGGTCGACGCCAATAGTTTTCAAGAACTGTTAACAGATTTCCAATTTGTTTTCGTCAGTCTTGCTTTTAGACTTAGTAGACTTAAATTGTAGTGCTTTTGTAAAACATTTTAAAAGGAAACTTAGTGACAAAAGTAATGGAAGTCGTCGAAACGTCGGTCCAATACTTTGTAATTTTCTTTTGAAATATTAATAATATATTCCAAAATAGAAGACACTAAAAAGAAAGAAAGAAAGAAAAAGAAAGATAAAAACAAACGTCCCTGGGTGGGCTCGAACCACCAACCTTTCGGTTAACAGCCGAACGCGCTAACCGATTGCGCCACAGAGACTTATGACTACAATTTGTAAAGAATATGTGAATAATTTTTGGAAACATCAAGAAAAGCAGATTTACACTACAGTAAAAACCCGCGTATAAGAACCTAGGTTTTTTCAAGTTAGCCTAAACAGGTTCTTATATAAATCGTATTTAGTGTTAAATTAGGCTAACTAGGTTCTTAATTAGGTTCTTAACTTTTGTTCAAGAAATAAAATAAAGTTTCATTWTAAGTTGGATWTTTTTATTCAATGAGGACATGTTCTTTACAGTAACCATGTACAGTTATAGTGTTTATAGCATTATAGCGTACAGACTGCGTTATAAATATATTTTTGAAAAGATTGATTCTTTTTTTTTTCTTTTTAAAAAATAAGAACCTGTTTTAGGATTTTAGCCTAAAATGGTTCTTATGTGAAGGGTGCTTAAAAATGAAATTTTAGCCTAACAGGTTCTTAAATTTGAGGTTCTTATACGCGGGTTTTTACTGTATTCCCAGTGTATTATTCTTCGATTGCACGTAACGTCAGCACTGCAATATTGATGGCATTTAACAAAATATTTTTCATTAGTATCCATGGTAAAATACCACCAACATGGCCGCCATGTCTTTGTCGTTTAACTCTCTTGGCAAAACTACAGAGAGAGTCCGACTCCGGATAAATTATTATGTCAATTAAGTATACCGTTGATCAATCTTTTTTGGGGGGGGGAAGGGGGGGGGAATTCAAGAATATTCCTCATAAATGAAGGCTTACCTTTTGTTTCTGGCCAAATATGCTCCAGTTTCGAGTTCTCTGTATCTCAAAGTAAGCCTCCATTTTGTGCAGAAGATTCATGTGTTCGAGTGAAATTCCGTGGAATTTTAAACTGTATATTGTTGATGTTGTGCATTCTTTACTTTACCTTTGGTATTCATTTTTTTAGTATTTTGATACTGAAATGAGACCAACCGTGAGTAAATGAGTCTGCAATCAAGGAACACAGCGGTATTAGCCTTTCCGAAGGTTAGGAAAGTACTGGGCTGAGTTGGCATTGCATTGCATTGTGGGACGACCCCATAATGCATTGCAATGCCAACTTGGCCCAGTTTTTTCTTCGGCCTTGGGTTTGCTAATAGTGTATGATTTCGAAAACGGCTATTCGTAAGTTTTTGACAAAAATAGCGACCAAAGATTATATCGGTGAGCATGAAATCGATAAAGATCTTAAAACATTACATTTCTCTTGTAAGTATGTAAATAGACAATCAATCAAGAAATTTAATAGTTAAGAATTAAATTCAATAAAGTGATTACATATAATGAATGTGTAGAAAATACTTGAGGGGGTGGGGGAGGGGGTGGGGTGAGGGCCTGACCGGAGTACTGATGCGTCTCTGTGCAATCAATGGTGGTAGAGCTGTATCAAGTCCGACTGACAGTGTGTTTCAAATTCCCTTTATCATATACACCTACTTGCAAGTACGTTGACATACGAAAATAGAACATTAGTAATTTAGTGAGAAAGGAATACATTAAAAGAGAAAAGAAAAAGTTCAGCTTCAGTGATCTTCTTTTGTTTTTTAATATAATTCCTGTCCCACTAAATCACTAATGTTCTATTTTCGTATGTCAACGTTCTTGCAAGTTGGTGTAATTATCCATAAAATACCTATATTTTTCCTTTTCGAAAAACTGATATATTTGATTGATAAAGACTATAATAAAGACTTTTCATAATATGAAATAATAAAATTATAAAAACCTGATTTTATAAAATAAAAAAGTTGATTTTATGGATAATTATATAATAAACAGAATATTACATGAGCGCTTGGATACGAAATTTATCTTCTCGTGTTGAAAATCTCTCAAGATCTTTTCAACACTCGAAGATAATTGTCGTATCTCCACGCACCTTTCTAATATCCTCTATTTTTCTACAGCTGTCTTTTCCATATGGGTATAATCAACTTCAGAAAAGGCTAATAACGAGACCATAGTATACCAATATTAAATGATCACAATACTTCGATAAACGACCATGACTTCTATGTTGTATGAGTCGTTCTACAAAGAGTCCCGACAATCTTAGGCCCTGTCCACACTATGCCGGATRAATTTGAATCCGCAACTTTCACACCGAAAAAAAATTTTTCGTCCACACATGAAAACGGATAAAATGTTTCGCGTCTACACTAGTCCGATCAGAGGCGGCAAAAACGCTTTATTGAACATGTGCATCGAAGCTGAAATCGAGCCCGCGGTGAATTTTTAGCCTTCCCGCCATGTTCCCATGACAATCATGACGTCATCTTATTCGAAAAATTTCGGATACGAAATGTTCTTCGTCCACACTAATAATACGGCTAGCCGGCGTTTTCAAATTGTTCCACTCTGGAGACCGTATTCCGAAAAATTCGTTTTCGGTGAAGAATTGTTCCGGATTCGCCCGGACTAGTGTGGACGGTAGGCCTAACCGAATGAATAAAAATTCGGATTCAAATTTATCCGGCATAGCCGTGTGGACGGGGCCTTAAAGGGCCACTTGGACGAAAATCGCTCCAAAATTAAAACTCTTTC